GGCTAAGGGCCTGTTTCGGTGGGCCGGGTCTGGGACCGGGACAGGACCAGGCCCGCGGTCCTAACGGGCTAAACGGTCCCGGCGGGCCGATCCTGGTGGGCCGGTCCCTTAATGGGTAGGAAGCCCGTGACGGGCCGGTCTTGTACACGAGGCCCACGAGACCGGACCGCTAAGCCCGGACCGGCAGGCGGTCCTGGGCCGGTTCAACCGGGCCTAGCGGTCCTAACGGGCTCCAACGGCTTAATTTTTTAAAAAAAAAAAGTTTTTTTTTTTAAAAAAATAGCCAACGGTCAGATTTTAAAATCTAGCCGTTGGCCTTTAATTTTCAACCGTTTGGAACTTTAAAAAATAGCCATTTGGCCCCCAAAATTTATTTTAACCCCAAACTTTATATAATTACACTTTTCCCCAATTCTCAACTATAAATACCCCTCATTCTTTCATTTTTACTCACCAATTCATCAATCTCTCTCATTCTCTCTCAATCTATATCTAATTTCTCTTCTATAATTGCTTATTTTATTATTGCAATTTCGTGAAAAATTGTGAAGTTGGTGAATTGAAGTATTCAAGTCTTCAAGTCTTCAACGACCTATTACCCGTCCTGCTGCTCCTATTATTCTTGATAGTGATAACCCTTGTTTTCAATTTTCCGATAGTGAATTTTGCCATAATGTTGCACCACGTGAACAATTAAATGAAGAAGTTATGAATGCTCTTTATCCTAATCAAACTATCTTAGAAAATGATGAGGAAAATGAGGATGTAGATGAAACCCAACCGGATTTAGATGATTCACCTACTAGTCCTGTTAATAACCCAACTGATGCCCCGCCCGACCCACCTGTAGAAACCCCTACTTTTAATAGACAACCTTCTAAACGCCTAGAAACATCAATAGTTTGGAATTTTTTTACTCAAGTAAGAGAACAAAATAAGGCTAAGTGTAAAACTTGTGGGAAATTGCTGGCACATAAATATACTGGAGATCGTAGCGGTATGGGTAGTTTGGTTAGGCACATACAAACACACCCTAGAGATAAAGTTAAATATTTACAAATGAAAGCGCAGCAAGAGGGGACAAGTGTAGATACTGTGGTTAACCCTAGTACAGGTTCAAATCTAGTTCAACCAGGAATTAACACTGTGACCGGTGGTTTATATTACGATCCTAATAAAGATCGTGAAGAATTAGCAAAGATGGTTACCGTTATGTGCTTACCCTATACTTTTCCTTCTAACCCTAATTCTGTGCATTATATTAGAAAAGTTTTTAATCATACTTATAAAGGTTGGCCTCGCGCAACAGTTAAGAGCGATATTTATAAATATAAACATGAATATGAACAATATTTGCGGTATTTATTTACTCATATAACTAATCGAATTTCTATTACTACCGATATTGGTAGAAGTAATAATGACTGTGATTATCTAACTGTTACAAGTCATTGGATAGATGAGGAGTGGATAATGCAAAAACGCATTATTGCTTATAGAATAATTAATTCACGTCATATAGGTAAGTTTATTGCTAACACTGTTGCAGATATTTGTAGATATTTTTGCATTAGAGATAACACTAAATCCTGCATTTAGTAATTGTTTCTATGTGAGATGTATTTGTCATATTTACCATTTAATCGTCGGTGATGGTATGAGAATTTTAAATTTAGAAATTGAAAAGGTTAGAATGGCTCTTAATTGGCTTTTTTATTCAAACCGTAGAAGTAGACTTAGAGAGTATTTTAAAAAATGTGATGAATTTGGCCTTAGAGAAAGAAAGGTTCTTAAACCTTGTCCAACTAGATGGAATTATATGTACGAAAGTTTAGTAGTTGCATATGAATATAGAAATCCAATTAATGCAACGTTTAATGCTCGTGTTGGTGGTGAGGATGATGATGAAATCCTTACAAATCAAGATTGGA